TCGGGTCTCGCGTCGGCGTCACGTTAGACCCGACTTTTCCTTTAGTAGTATGTAGAGGTAGAGGAAAGATGGATGAAGCATCTTAATGTTAATAAAGAATCATTAAGAAAGGTAAAATGGTTAAGTAAGACCAAAATTAAACCTGCAAAAAAGTGGCTTCACTACAATGGCAAATAGAGCATAGGTGTCTACCTACAAATGACTGGCTAATAGACAGGTCGACATTGGAACAAAGAGGGAAGCGCTTCTCTGGTGTAAATTTTGTAAATCTGCGTTTCCTTCTGAGTTAATCCTTGAGAGAATCGAGCATATATTCTTATAGTGTTCTGGGGCAATTTGGCTATGGAGGTGGTGGGGCCATATTTGGTCTAATTTGGAAACAAAAGTCCAGTGGCCATGGGATTGGAGAGCCCTTCTTCTTGAAACTTGGTCCCCTTACTGATAAATTCTCACAAAATTTGTATAGCATGGTCAGGACAACGGTATTATGGGCAATATGGTTAAGAAGATGTATGTATGAAATGGAAGGAGTTCGGCTAGATGGACCAAAATTCACCGACACAATTAAGCAACAAATACAAACTGATATCAATATAAAATGGAACAGTCTAAGGAAAAAATACAATTTATATCCTCGTGAAAAGAAATCCTTCAACACATTCAACGATTCAACCAATGCTGGCTAGGAGATCTTGCATTTTCTGGCTAGGAATATCAAACCACTATTGAACTATGCCTGTTGTGAGTCGAAAAGGTGTCTTTGTTGCCGCCAGTACTGCCATGTGTCGCGGATGAAGTGTAAGAAGTTTGGACTCTTTAAAAGGGATGTGTTAAGCTTATAGAAGCCAGAGCCCTGATCGGGTCTCTTGTGTATCGTCAAAACTAGTCCATAGGTCTTGTGGTCAAGCCCCGGTGCGGACTGGGGGGGAGCACGGCTGCCCACCGAAGGGCGCACTCGAGGTCTTTGGAAAGCAATATTAAATTTATGCGAGACTTAGATAGTGTTCCCGGGCCGTTATCTCTCGCACAAGTGAAGGTTCAGTCAGTTGGGTGATGCCGTCGAAAGGTGTCAAATAGAGCAAGGGAGTCACGCAGTTTGGCTATCATCTGCTCGTCCTCCCTTGCCGCAAAGGGGTGGGGTGCATGTAGAGTCCACCTATCCAGCCAACGATCTGGGGCCGTGTTCAAGTCCCCCGCTGTGACGCCCAACCTCATGCCCAGCGCGACTTCCTGATCGGAGTGGGATGGGGGCCCGGAAGCGCGAAAAGGGGTGTGCCAAGGATTTTTGGGGATTTGGGGTGGAGTCCCAGGTCGGAACTGAGATTTCCTGTGGCAAGTTTCAGGGGTAGGAGTGCAAGTGTCTTTTGGCTTAGAGTTGGGGTGATGACCGATCGTGCTGCCTGGGCCGGGGTGGGGTGCTACGGGTATCTCTGTGTGACTGCTCGTACCGCTGCCGACCGTCGCACGTCTTAGGGTCCGACGAAGACGAGCTGGGTTCTCGTCGCTCGGCCCTGGGATGGGCTCGTTGCATGACCCTCGCCTGCCGCTGCTCGTCGGGCTGCCGACACTCCGAGCACGGCGGGCGGGGCCAGAACCGAGCTATGGAATCCCAGGGGACCACGAGTAACCAATGGTAGGGGAGGACGGTATAGTAGGGAGGGAAGTCAATGGTAATGGCAACGAAGCCCTAGGTTAGAAGATATTGCTGGTTTCGGTTGTCGGGATAATCGAAAATCTGCGAGTCTCGGTTGATTGCCAGCTGGAAGTCGCCCCGACACAGTTGCTCGTTTCCAGTCCGGCAGGGGTACTCAAGATACCCAGGGTTCCGTAGGTGGCGATGTTGTCGGATTTGCTGCCGGCACAGTCGCTCGGTATTCTGGGTCCCTCAGGCTCTCGCGATCGGTGATCCAGAAAGGAGAATCTATCGCCATGTCTCATTCAACCGAAGTCGTGCATACACATCTTCCTACGGGACGAGATCGTGGTTGGCTTTTGCGGGCGCACGTGTAGATGGCACGTCCGCGGGCGGCCTCTGTCTTACACGTGCATGCGCAAGGGCCAGCGGATCAGATCCTGATCTGCGCAAATAACCAAGGAGCGATCCGTCAGCGTACTGGCTCAGTCATGCGGCTAATTCCACAAAGCATACACACTCAACAATCTCCGTATGTCTGAGGGTGTCGGGACCTTAATTCGTCCGGACTCGTATCGTAGATAGGGATTCCATCATTTACGTCGAGATCTGTCGTGCTAAGTCCACTTGGGGTTGCGAGCCATCCTCGTGGGTGCGCGTGTAAGTCATGCTCATCAGATCGCACTTCCACGGGGACTCGCGGGGTTGGCCCGCTGTGGGTCAATCCATCAGCCAATCACCTATGCAGAAAAAGGTTCATGCAATAATCCTTCAAACAATTTGTTCGAGCAGAAAGCAGGGATGTGGCCATCAGGGGGATATCTCATCACCATCCATACATACATTGAAGCACCGTAACGGTATCAACTCCTTTCACCTACCACTCATACGGGTGAGAATAGATCGGCGCTGCAAGCGTTGGGTGATTCAGGATTACACGCAAAACATCGGGTATTCAAGCATTATAAGATCATCAGACCCATCTCATCAAGTGGGTGCAAAACGAGATAGGCAAAGATTGAGCTGCACATCACACAAAGCCGAAAGAAATGTCAAAAACGCAAAACAAGGGCGTCTCGCCCAGAGCCAAAATCTCATACACAAAAACTGAGAAAAGACAAAGAAGATTGCAATCCCACATCCGCCTATTCCCCCTCTCTCTCTCTCTCTCCGATGCGGACAGTCCGTCGTCTCGCACCCACCAACGAAGTTGTCACCCCGCTTAGTCCGCATGCGCTCGTCAGGTTCGCCCGTGCGCCATAGTCCGTCGTGGCCTTCACGTCAACCCCGCACACTTGGCACTAGCTCGTAGGGTCGCCCAACTCCCACGTCACTCACCTCTTACTTCGCTCATTAGCCGACCCTCACTGATCGCGCTAACCTCGAGCTTCCAAAATTTTTAGAGAGCTATCTAACCGCGCCGACGAAATTTATAGCATGCACGCGTGCGCGAAGATGCGAGATTGCAGGGATTGGAAAGAGGAGCAGAGAAAGGAAGTGCCTACGCTTGGCATGGCCAGAGCGCGGCGTGGGGGACGTAGCCACTCTCTACGCATCGATCTAGGCATGCAGTGCTCAGGCCAATCAGATGCAGCAAAAAAAAGGGAAAAAGGGCGGGAAGAAGGCGAGGGAACAAGAAGAAAGATACAGTTACAATGGCGCCCGCCCATCGATTACAGTTGCATGCAAGATTAAGGGCGCCGCTTAGTCAAAACTTCATTCCCGCCGCAAGAATATGCGCGCAAGAAAGAGGGGCCGCTCGACAAGAAATTCAAAAAGTCCTAAATTCCTATCTGAACTCAAAATTGCAACAAGGAAATTCAAAATTCCGAGAGCCCTCGGGGCTCGTTCTTAGTTGAAAGGAAATTTTTAAAAAAGAAAACCAAAAAGCTCCTGCGCGATCATCGCGCCAAGAATCTTCGTTCCCTCCTTCAGAGCAAGAAAGAACCATCGCCAACCGTTATTGATCGCGCCCAACAGGGCGCGCATACTCAACCGTCTGTCCCGGGCCTGTCCCATCACCGCCGAAGGGGAGGGAGCGAAGCGAAGGAAAAGAAAGAAGCGAGGACACTGACGCAATTTACCCGCCGACCCCACCTCCTGTAATTTGCCCAATCTTCCCATCTCAAGACCCCTCATTGTCATCGCGCAGAAAGTCGTGCGGCACAGAAAGTGGTTCGTCACACCGCTACCACTACAAAGATTCCTTTCTGGTAGTAATAGGATTTCCATCATCACATCAGAGGCTTGTGATGGTCAGAAATCAAGAGGCGGTTAACGGAGGCCTCAATTTCAAGACAACTTCTCATGCCATTGATGAGAAAACCCAATGGTCATTTTAACCAAACTTGCCACCAATTCATAGAGTGGAGATCATACTTTTTTTTCGTGTGTGAAAATGAGAAAACCATGATTATGCAACAGTCCGGGAAAGACCCTGGTGCTGGAAACCAGGTCCAGCGTCCTGCCCCTCTCCTGACATCCGGCCTGGCTCAGGAAATCGGAAGGAGCCACTGGGGGGCACCAATGGCAACCTCCTTCCATTTCCTCGCCTGGCCCCAATTTCTCACTGTGCTCTCCTCGTATACGAGGCTTCATTGTCGTTTCTCTATTTTCAGAAGTCCTTCAGAATTCTTGGAAGATGCTCGGCTTCAGTGTAGATGGCGCAGATCAGATACGCGGGCCAGATGATCCAGATGGATGAGCTAGGTAGCGCTTGGGTACTTAGGTAGTGTCCCGAGACAGCGACTCAGGTGACGTTTCCTCCAGGGATAACGGATGGGGGGGGAAGGTGCCAGCGAATTCCTGGGCTGGTCGTAACGGGTCCCTAGGGTCAATCTTTGTCCACTCCTGAAAACGCAGCTGTTGCCCCCCTTGCGGTCCCATTTCCTCCTCCTGTTGATGTTCCCGTTGGTGATCCTATTGTTGGACCTGTCGCTGTTCTTGCCCATCTCCTGCCCAGCTCACCTTTGCCACCCAACCCTCCCTCTTCCCTCCCAACCATTCCCCAGAGAACTGAGAGATGATTCTATTGATATCACCCCTGGTGTGTACTTGGTTCACCTTTTCCTTAGCCGCCCGCCAATAAGCCGTAATCTCATACTGTACCAGTAGCCGTAGTTGCTCCGTGACCTCCCCATCTTCCATGACCTCACCATATTACACACAAGACGATGCGTCTACCCAGGCAAAACATGTCTTCTTCGAATGTGTTTCCTCGAGTCTAGGGGTAATGTCCCTGAAGTACTGCCCTCCAGTCCCATGGCCATAATGAGCTTGGCACCATGTGCTGCCAAATCCTGTCCCACCACCTCCATAATAATACGGGCGCGCGCAACACTGAAGGAAAATGTGCTCTATCGTCTCGGAGCTCTTTTTTCCGGGGTAGCACTGGAGGCATCTATGGCACCATGGCAGTGCCCGCCCCTATGACACAGCATGCAGTACGTGGCTTTGACCAGCAGGCAATGCAGGTGCTGACTCCAGAGTGTGCGCCCGGCTCACTGGGTTGCCCAGACCCATTCAGCTGGGTCAAAAGCAAGGTGAGAGATCGATGTGCCCGGCTGATAAGCGAGCCACTGGTCTTTGTCTTGCAGGATGCGGATTCATTGGACCTCTGCAATTGGTTCCCCATGTACCTCCTCTGGATGTATTCAGGTAAGTCTATTGCCATTTTGAATTTGAAAGTAGTCAACCAGGACTTTCCCATCTGGGTGTACCCACCTTGTCCTCACATCCTTGAATGGCCACCCAGTCACTTTCCTTCAAATCCGGGCCCTTCCTGAGGATACCCGTTTTGTGTTTGTTGCTTGTTCGGTTGTTTATTGTTTGTTTGTTTGTTTGTCTGTGGTTTGTTTGTTTGCGCAGCTGCCAAGTCCAAGCCCACCAGTCCTTCGGCGTAACACTCGTCGTGGGTATGCATGCTGTGTCATCCAACTTTCCTTGTGTGGAAGTCGGTGTGCCCCTCTCCCCTCCAACTCAGTTCTGAATCTTCTGATGCCATGTGCACCTTGCCCACATTTGTCCCCACACGGTCTCCTGCAGTCTTCCTTACTCTTGTTTTTTTTACAACCGTTGGCATTTTTTATCCATGTGGCTCAAGCACTACCGGGGTCCCCCGAATAGAATGTATGGTTTGGGGCAACTTTCAGCCTAGATACAGCGATAATGACCGTATGTTCTGTTCGGGGGAAGACGGTAGCTGTGTATATGTAGACTCTGCCCGTTCAATTATTCCTTCTGTGGAGGTTATGTGTTAATAATCTGTCCCTCTCTACCCTACTTAGTTGTTATGGTCCGTCTGGCTTGTCCACTTTCCTCCCCCGCACACTCTCCTGCGGCCGTCCCTAGTATCCTCCACTCCATTGCACTCCTTTGCACTCTCTCCCGCTCTTGTTGATATTCACTCGCATACTCCACCAAACTCTCTCTCTCCCTTTTTTTTTGTTTTTAATAAACAAAATGCCCTCAGCGACAGATAGGAGTGATGACATGAGCATACACTCCTATCTACCCCGAAGATGGGTCCAGTCTATTGGTGGGGAGCGTCACCTGGTGGAAAGCGGCTGCAGCATCCGCGGGTCTCAACTATTCATACACTGTCCTCTCATTCAGACAGAGCTCTGTTCGTTGGTGCAAAAAAGAAGAAAATTGTGGTCCTACTCTGTTCGTAGGTGTGGAAAAAGGGAGGAGAATTGTGGTACGATGCTGGCGGTGATGTATGGTGTGTGAGATTGCTGTGAGTGTGAGGGGAGGGCCCCACCACTGCTATGTTCATGATTGGGATGCATGGACCTGGCAGTAATAGCAGCCCGGTTCGTGCTTTCCAAACATGAATGTAAAACCAATGGGTTCTGCTCCTCAGTTTGGATACCAGTGTTCACTTGCTTCTCGTCCTTTTTCTCTCTCCAGCCTGTGGCACATGTCGATGAGTTTCACAGACTAGTTTCCATTGTCGTGTCATTCATTCCCTGTGTATATCAAATTCCAAAGATGATTCTGCGTAGACTGAGGCACTGCCTAACAGAAATCCATCTCCCTTGGGATGTGAAAGCCCTCCTCTTGGGAGATATCTCACAACACTCCTGCCAATGGACTGCCTTCATGGTGAACCTTTTCAAATACTCTAGACTGGCGGTACTAATGGAAGCCTGGAGAATGCGCTGCTCATTCAAGAGAAAACAACACACTTACGACTTTGTTCAAGCCAGGGCGACCATTGCAGACACGATCACTGCTAAAACGCAAGAAACGTGTAAGGAACTCCAGGCTATGATTGAAAATGAATCTGATGAGTCGAGAAGGACACATGGCGAACAATTTCCACACCGTGTGGACAGATTGTAACAAACGACTTTGTGATTTACATACATTTGCTATGGCAACCCTGGCTTATTACAGAAAGGCAATGGGGGGAAAAAGCGCAGAGAACACTTCCAGATCCAAATCTTGCAAACAAACTTCGTGTTGGTACTGGGGGATCGGCCACCAGCTGTGCCCCCCATGCGGGAGGATCCCACTTGACACCCCATACCATCTCCTTCTCGTCTTCCATACTGCCCCGCACAACCCCCCTTGCCATGGATTGCAGCACCTTGATGACCTTGCCCTCCCCTGTATGCCTTGATCTGAGCCCCCGCCAGTAACCCTCCTGCCCGCGCTCACACCACCTCTCCGCCCACCCTGCTCAAGGAGTGCCGGTCAAGTATCGATCTCCAAAGGACGCATCAGGAGTTGTTGGAAACAGCGGGGGGTCTATCACACGGTGGACAGACAGGGTTTAGGTCATGAAAAGAATGGAGCTTGGGAGTGGGAGAGAGTAGATAGTATGCCAGGCTAACCCCTGTGCAATACCTGGGAAAGGGCAGCGGGCTGGATAAAACAACCACGAAAGTGTGTGAACATACTTCTGTACATATGAAGCAACAGGGACGCTAGCAGGTGATGCTCCCCACCAGTAAACTGGAGCCTCCACGATCGGGACCCACTTTAGGAGGATGCTCGTATCCCCCCCTAAAATGGGTACCCCCCAGGGAGTTTCAAACAAACAACAAAACAAGCCTGGATAGGTCTGTTTTTTGGCCTCATACGCTTTGGGACGCTAAACCACTGAACCAGACAGCCCAGGTTGACCACCTGGATAAATGGCTGCGCAAGCACCGCCATGGTAACTGCGGACCCGGACACCGGACACTTCCGGACTGTCTTCCGGACCAGTGTCTGGACCGGTCCGGACTGTCTGGTGATCCGGACATCACCGGACACCGGACATCACCGGACACCGGACAGTCCGGACCGGTCCCCGGGGTGCAAAAATGTCCGGACCCAAAAAAAAAAACAAAAAAAACGGGGGTGGGGGGGAGGTTGGGTGGGGGTGTTGACAGGCACTTACCTGCTTTGCACTCTGTAGTTCAGGCAGCAGAGCACGTGTCTTGCAGCAAATCAACCAGCACATTTAACCAGCAGACATRCAGAGTTACAAACAGTGCAAAGCAGGCACAAGACTAAAGAAACAGAGAATTAAAAAAAAGAAGAAGTATGATGAACTTTGAACTTTGAACTTTGGATTTAGTAATTTAAGTTCATAACTTCATATATAACTTAAAAGTTCGAGCTTTGCAGTTCAATTCAGAACCTCAGAGTCTTCAGACTGGCAGCACTGTCAGTGCTCTCTCTCTCTCTCTCTCTCTCTCTCTCTCTCTCTCTCTCTCTCTCTCTCTCTCTCTCTCCCCCTAACGATCAGGAGCGGCGGGCGCCACGTCGAAACGGCCGCTTTGAAATTGCTCGGGCCTGTGCGAAACCCGCCACCTCAAAAACCTGCAGTGTCTTGTGTCTGGACCTCTAGGCCATGTCCGGTGGGGTGAAAGGACACTTAAAAATCACCCCGTTATTTTTCGAGGGGCGGCTAGGACCCGACACACGTCCTGGGCCGCCCCATTTTTTTTTTTGATTTTGCCCCAGGGGCCTCCATCCAGACATGGGGACCGGACACCGGACACCAGACACCAGACACCAGACACCGGACACCGGACACCGGATTGTCTGGAACCCGGTCCGGACGTCCGGGCGGTTACCGTGAGCACCGCAACATCATTTTTTTGGGTAAAATTGTCAACGATCACCCAAAGATTCCCGATATTGTCAGTAAGTCCGAAAAAGTGCCCTTTCCTCAATAGGCCCCTCAAAGATTGCACGAGTTTATTGTTGAGCCACCAGTACATGGCCCCAGCCAACTTGAGAACCACGACTAAGCCTCTCTGGAAAAATTGGAAGCTTGGGGCAACCGGACCAAAATGGCTGGCACAGCCAGCCAAAACTAAAACGCTGGGGTTTTGGCAAAACTTGGTGCACAGTGGGAATCCGCCTCGTACAAGAGAGGCTCAGATGTACTGGTCTTTTAAGCCCAGGGTGCCATCTTGCTGAGTCAAATTGTTATATGTCCCTGGTACAACCTGAAATCGTCAATAAGTCTCCCCATGCGCCCGAGGATAGTGGCCTTTTTGGAATCCTTCATATTGTTTATACTTTATATATTCCTGATGTGATGAAGTGAGCTTCCAGGGCTTGCAAGCCTACAACTGCGCTTTTTCAAAGTGGCCTGCCGCTTCAATACCACACCAGGCCCAAATCGAAAAGCTCTTACAGCTTATACTGGTAAGAGCACTACTTAGGTTCGTGTGAACTGTTGGATTAATGTCCTTCATCTGGTCCTACAAGCACGTGCATGCTTGCAAACACACACACACACACACACACACACACACACACACACACACACACACACACACACACGCATATCCAGGTCAGAGCTGAGCTTGGGATTCAAAAGAAGACGCAGGTATTGATTACGAAGGAGACACTAGGATGTAATTGTCGGTTTCCCTGGTACGAAAAGATGAATGGGAGTCGAGCGCAGGATGCGTCTTGTAATAATAATAATAAAAGAAATGACCACCGTGCGCTACTCACGCACAAGCAACCCCTACACCCCTGCAATGTTCAGACCATCAACGAGGCCGTATTTTTGTACGCGCAGCCCGTTTTTCCCGCCCGACTCTCTGTACTATAGCTTGTCAATTCCCTTTTTTTCTTTTTTTCTTTTTTTCCTTTTTTCTTCTTTTTTTAGGACTGTCGGTTTTGCGTCGATAATACGCTTCTTTTCGAAGTTTTCCAAGGCAAATACGGTTGCCAATCGCGAAGCAGGGGCAAGCGCCTAAGTGAGTTCCACTGTACCTATAGACTAAAAGCAACTGCATTCATTGTCGATTCGAGGTCTATACATGGATGGTTTTCTAGCTTTTTTTCCTTCTCTTTCTTTTTTCTTTTCCTTTTCTTTTTCTTTTTTCTTTCCCCTTTTTTTTCTAGAAGGTACGGATTGTGCGTTTTTGATACGTTTTTTTCGAGTTTTTTTGAAAAGCGATTACTGCTGCCAATTACGGACCAGGGGCTGGCACTTAGGAGATTTCCGCTGTACCCGATAGGCAAGGATCAGCTACGTACATAGTCGACTCGAGAACACAGCAACCGGACAATCAGGAGGTACCAACCTACGCGCCGTGCCATGAATTTCAGCACTAATCAGACCAGCACATCGAAGAGTACTTAAGCAGGTAAGCTTGGCCACGGTAAGTACAGTCAGACGGAGTGCGCACGACCATCTGGAGCGGTCGATGACCAGTTGTTTTCAAGTCGCCTAACGAAGGATTTCGCAGCGGTCTTTTGTGAGGAGGACTTCATCGGCACTCAAGAAGGGGTACTTCAGCTATAACGCCATGAAGCCATCTGTACCGGACCCGCTGGCACTCCTTGCGCTACTCTGCTCTATAGCACTCTGCCTAGCACTCGTCCCCAACGTCCTCATTGGCGCGCTACTCTGTTGGGCCTGCCAAACAGAGTGCGCAATGCTCTCCGGCTC